CAAAAAATAACCGGAATAACTGGCAAGTTTGACCTTGGGAGTATAAAATGAAGCAGGGCACAGGTTGGTAGAATTTTGTCAAGAGAATACGATGGTCATAGCAAACACTCTTTTCCAACAACTCAAGAGATGACTCTACACATGGACATCACCAGACGGTCAACAAAGAAATCAGACTGACTATGTGCTCTGCAGTCAAAGATGGAGAAGCTCTATACAGTCTGTAAAAACTAGACCAGGAGCTGACTGTGGCTCAGATCATGAGCGTCTTGTTGCAAAATTTAGGCTTAAATTGAAGAAAGTAGGGAAAAGCACTAGGCCACTCAGGTGTGACCTAAATCATATCCCTGATGAATATACAGTAGAGGTGACAAATAGAAAGCTGGACCATAAGGAAGGCTGAGCACCAAAGGATTGAGGCCTTTGAATTGTGGTGCTGGAGGAGACTCCTGCGAGTCCCTCAGATCTCGCGATCAAACCGGTCAGTCCTAGAGGAGATCAACCCTGACTGCTCTTTAGAAGGCCAGATCCTGAAGATGATACTCAAATACTTTGGCCACCTTATGAGAAGGAAGGACTCCCTGGAGAAGAGGCTAATGCTGGGAACAATAAATGGCAAAAGAAGAAGGGGGCGGCAGAGGATGAGGTGGCTAGATGGAGTCACTGAAGCAGTTGGTGTGAGCTTGGGTGGACTCCGGGGATGGTGGAGGACAGGAAGGCCTGGAGGAGTGTTGTCCATGGGATCGCGATGGGTCAGACATGACTTTGTGACTAACAACAACAACAATCTGCATACTGGCAGAACCTTCCATGTTGCTACAGGATAATGTTTTTCTGCACCATCCCCTCTTTCTCTCAAATTCATGAGAAATATCAACCAGAAAAAAATAATCCAAGAGGGGGACCTTGTTTTGTAAAATGCATCTTCTCTGTACAGCAAGCTTATGTACAGTGATGGTCTCCATTCCCCAGTCTTTTCCTAAACAGCAGAAGTACACCCTTCACCAAAATGTGAAGTACACTTAGACAAAAAGATGAATTTACAAGAAAAGTCATCACTAAGTCTCTTACCCAGTTGTCATGTATTGCCTTACAGGAAAGGCACACCTACATCACAGGTGTGCAAATACTTGATCACTTTTAGCCAGGAAGTGTCAAAAGCTTTTCCTGCCAGATCATTACTTTGTCATTAAAGAAATCAGTTGGTTTTTCTAAAGTTTGCATTCAGATGTGAACATCTCAGCTCCACCACACACACTGCTTAAAGAAAAGCCTTCCAGAGACGCTGGTAATTGGACGGCATACAAATTTCATAAATGAATAAAAAAATAAAAGGCAAATCCAGTAAGGAATAACCTGTTAAGATATTGCAGAAATCAGCCTCTCCAATGTATTACCAGTTGGAGACAGCTCATTTCCTTTTGGCTTTGCCTGGGACAGGATTAACTGTGAAGCTGCTTTGTGGCCTATTCAAATTATGTTTGACCACCAAGAAGCAACAATTTAACCCTGAGACAGAACGCTCCTTTGAAGCGTTTATTCCGAGTCCCCAGATATACAAAGGCAACATGGAACGGCATGCCATCCACATTCTCCACTGCCCCAAAAGTCTTTGTGAAATGATTACTTTTAATTTTCATTGCACACTGACCTGTGCTGTAGATTGAGTCAGTCAATGTTTAACCTGAAAAGTTAGTCTGTAAGACCCAGAGCCAATGGCCTCTTCTCTTGTTTATGCAGATCTAATTCCTTTTTAAAGTTCATGCACAAACAAACAAACAAACAGGGAGAGGGGGTGGAATTAGATTGAGGGATGGGAAAGAGAGCCAGATTCCGCATTAATATTGAGAAAGATAAGGAGACAAGAGTCCTTGCTTCCCATAATATGTATTGGATAAGAAAGAATGTCTTCTGCCTCAGCACCGGAAGTGAGAGGAGGAGGAAATGATCACTTTACAGAAAATATGCAAAAGACTAAGGAAATTTGCTTTAAGAGAAAAGCACTGGGACCAGCTGTGCGAGAACATGTCAGAGAGAGATTACAAGGGAAGGGTGCAGCAAAACTCAACCCCCCCCCCTCCCCTAGCTAAGGGCATCTGCTATGCCAGTTTCGGCACAAGGGTCCAATTAACTATACATGCATGCAGGGGGCAAAAGAAACCTCGCCTGCAGACATTCCCTTAACAGCGGAGGAGGATCGGAGGTGGATCACTGCTAACTTTAAAAGTTCCCCCACCCCAATACAATTGTCAGGAGAGAGACTCCACAGGCTTCTGGAACATGCTAGTATTGAAAGCTATTTAAGTCGTCCTTCTCAAATTCCAGCTACTTCAAGAAGGCAACTTCGCCACATGTACTTACATGGCAACACTCACTGAAATTGGCTTGCACTAAAACCGCGGCTAAAGCTGCCCCGTCTGACACCCACTGTCTTTTCCCCACACTGAGGGTTAAGCCATTTTTTCTTTAGAGTGTTTTTTACCCAGCTTTTTAGCCAAGGCAGGCTGGAAGAGTGGCTTACCACGATTCATTATACGACAATCCCTGCCCTCAGGCGTACAATCTCAAAGACAGGACACAAAAGGCAGAGGAATTAGAAGGGAGGAGCGTTAAAAAAAAAATCTTCTCTCCAAGCCATCTATGGCTACACTTCTTGGATTGGTGCTGTTGGAAAGATTAAGATAAGAATTTTTGCCACTCCGCTTCGAAATGCACTAATCCTATGCAAGGGTGCAATTCAGACAAACACCTGCCTTTTTAGTCAATCATTGTGGAAGTAAACTGAGCCACTGCTCAAAAGGAAGAGCATTCCTGAGTGCGGAGTGAGCAAACCTAAGAGGACAAAAGAGGGGGGTGAGCAGCTGTGTCATCACAGCTGCAACATTAGGATTGCCAGATATCCTCTTATCTAATCCAATACGGGAGTAATCTCTGTAAACCGACAAGCAGCCCATTTTGTCTTAGGCCAGGGAGGCCAAACCTCATCTCATCCCAAGGAGTCATCCTCCCCTAATCCCGCAAAAATGGGATACACCGCTGCTCTCCAACTGTTGCGCAGATGAATGCAAATTAAGTTGCAGTCCCAACAGCCTTCACTGCTCCCCGAAAAGTCCGTAAAGGCACCCCAAGGAGAGTCCCTTCCTCTCCCTCTGTGAATTACACCGACACACACACACTCACAGAGCGATACACAGCCTAAAAACCCAATTGAGTGGGATGAGCAGGTCGCCCCCAAAGGGTTCGCATGCGAAACTCCGGCTGCGGAGACCTGGGTTCAAAACTGCACAAAATTTCAACCGGCGTCCATGAGCAAGTTACTCTCCAAGGAGTACAAAGAGGATGGAGCAGCATATCCTACAGCCCTGAGCGCGAGGGAGGAAGGGTGGGACACAACTGTGAATCATGTGAAAGCTCCAGGCTGCTGCTTCACTTGCTGGTGAGGTTCATGTTGAACCATTTACCGGGCTGGAGGACACCTGAATCTTTAGAGGACGGAACATGGGCCTTCCTGGCTCTTGCTGGGTCAATGGATGGCCCTGGTGCCCCTGAAGGGGAGGCATTATTCCTGTTCTGAACAGCTGTCCCAGAGCGACGCACCCCTGCATTCTCCTGCACCGCAGCCAGCATCTGCCCTGATCCACCGGGTGCCCTGACCAGGCTCTTGCCTGATATTGGGTGAGGACCTGTTATTTCTCGGGCCTGACAGTGCCTGAGATACGCGGGAGAAGCTGGGCAAAGCAAGTCAGAACATGCCCAGAGGCCTCTCTGAACAACAGGAGTGGCCCCTGCTTGCCGAGCATCCGGTTCCCATGTCACAGGGCATGGAGAGCTTCAGTCTGTCTGTCCCAGGCCGATCTGTGTGACTCCCAGGAGCAGGCGGGTGGGAGGCGCACACAAGAGGAGAACACACTCCCAACCACAGCCGATGCAGCTGGCGTTGGAGGGGGGCTGAGGGAGAGAATGTCACTGGAGTAAAGCAAGGTCACCGGATGGTGCTGTGCAGAACCCCTTTCACTTCAAAAACACTTTAAAGAGAAGCACAGTGAACAAAACAAGGCCATGTACTGTCGACAATTCCATCAAAACAGTATTTGCTGAAAATTTACTAGTCTGGTAGAAGAGAGCAGTGCCTCCCAGTCTCTCCCTCTGGTGATCTGGAGGGATGTTTCCAAGACTTCATGAGGCGGCCAGATGTGGCAAGGGCACTCTACACTTGGTCAAAGGCACTTTCTTCATTATGTAGTCTTCTTGTCTGCATGGACAGCTCTCCGGAGCACTTCCTCTGCCCTCTACTATCAAGTCCCCAAAAGGAGAGGAATAGGAAAAGTATGTCTCCTGTCCATGGCGCTACAAGGCACACGCTGGTTCTACTTTGCAGCACTGCTTAACCCTCGAACCTGTTTGCAGATCAGGGCATGTAGCGGGAAGGCGCCGAATGGCACTTTTCCTTCAGCCTTGTGACATTTCCTCGCACAACACAGATCAGGCATTGTTTTGGGCATCTTTCAAGAAGATCGAGCAAGCTTGCAAGAGACAGTCCTATCAGGTGTGGCTACTGAACAGAATGGCCACGCTCAAAACCGCCCAAGAGAGCCGGATAGGCGGATAACCATCACACCCTGGTGCGACCTTTTGCAGGGACCTACCAGGTAGCTATTGGCTTTGCTAGGCCTCACCGAGCATCATGAGCATCAGCGGCACTTGAGAGCAACACCAGAAAGAGAGCAATCACAGGACTGAAACCTCGTTAAGATCCCTGCCCCGAGGATCACGCACGTGTCCGCAGAAGACACGGGTGGAAACCCAAGGGCGCAAGGCGTGCAATCCTGCACGTGCCTAGTCAGAAGGAACCCCGGTTGAGTTCGATGGGCCGTGCCCCCAGGCGGGCGTGCGCAGGACCGCGGTCCCCACGGGCTCGGAAAAGGCCAGGCAATGGTCGTTCCCGTCTGGCCTCCGAGTCCGGGGCCCCCGGAGCTCCCCCCCCCGCCGCTCCCACTCACCAAGATGCAGGGTGAGGTTGATGGTGTTGGGGTACTGTACGCCGGCGAGCATGGTCTGGCTCTGCCACCAGGTGGTGTCGGCCTGGTTGTTGTAGTCGGTCAGGAAGACGGCGCCGTGCTGCAGGTGAGGCTGCGAGGCGTCGCACAGGTGGCACGACTTGGTGACGCCGGTGACGCCGGTCTGCACGCAGTACTCCTCGGCCGGGCTGCCGCACGTGTTGGTGGCCACCACGGTGGCGTTGAAGGCGGCGTTGACGAACTCGGGCATGCAGCGCTGCGGCCGCCCGCTCTGCTCGTCCGCGCACTCGTCCATGGCGCCGCCGCACAGCCCGGGCAGCGCCAGCAGCAGCAGCAGCGCCGGCGGCGGCGAAAGCCGTCCCGGGCGCAGCCGCGCGTCGCCCATCCTGCGCCCCGCGCGAAGCTCCCGCACCGAGGCTGGCCTGCCGCCCCAGCAGCCCGCCTCGCCTCGCCGCCTTCCCGGGGACGGGGACGCGGGCCCGGCTGGCTACGGCGGCGGCAGGAGCGGCGGCGGCGGCGGGGCGGAGGCGGAGCGGAGCGGCGGCACGGTCACAGTACCGACGCGGCGAGCACACGCGCACAGCCAGCCTCGCCCGCGCCTCCCTCCCTGCCTCCCTGCCTCCGCGGCGACGGGGTGGGGGCGCCGCGTTGCACGCCGGGAGCCGCGGCGAGCGGGGGGGCGGCGGGGCCGG